TTAAAAAATAAAATTAAATTATTTTTTATTTAATTTTTCACGCTTTTGAAAAAAATTTACATTTTCACCATTTTTCTGAAAAAAATGGTTCATATGATACAAGATTATCACGCATATGTGTCGCAGAGAATGCTTCTTTACTTTGTATATTTTTCTTCAAAGCATTTCTCTTTATTTATTCGATTTCGATTTGCACCTTCTCTATGTTTTAAGTTCTCTGTTATAAGCGTGTTTCATTGAGCATTTTCAGTGTTAAATGAGAAAAATAATGCTAATTCCATGTAAACAAATTTACGCATAGAGATTCGTTTATTTTCTATGCGCAACCGACTCGGCCATAATTTATATACATATGATCCGTATATATTTGGTATCAAAGCATATACCAGAGAACTTAAAACATGTTTTACATGTGAATTCCCTATCACAATCTTATAAGTTCTGTTAGCCGTCCAATCGAACATCAWACAGAATTCAATTTGCACCTTCTCTATGTTTTAAGTTCTCTGATTATACGTTCTCTGTGATGGCTTCTAACTCAACCGCATTTTGGTTGACGTTTTGAAATACGTCCAAACATATTCAATTAAAGAATTATCAAACTTCAGCTATTTTGTGGTATTACGGTTTTCAACACGAGCGCGGTTAACAACAATATTTCGGAAAAAATATTAACACAAAATGGAAACGAGATAAATAAACTATTTAAAATATGCTAAACTATCTTTAATCAGTTATTTCGTGCTTATACAAAGAAAAATCCAGATTAGAACGAAATTAAATAGCTTGTTGAGCTCATTCTTGTTTTAATGTTGCCAATATAACTTTGGCTTAAGAAGTTAAGATGGGTTTGAGTGGCCACGAACGCAACATTTAATTTATTGTGGTATATATCACTTCAAATGTCCTTTTTATTATTCAACTTTTCTGATGCAGCAATTGGTTTGAATTGTTTTAATTATTCCATAATGTTCAGTTGCTAAGTTATCTGCCAAAGATTCACTTCTTCATATCGGTAACAATAATGAATCTTCGGCCGAAATTAGTTGTAGTTCATAATATCCAAAAAATATTTTATTAATCTGAAATTGGTTGCTTTAATGCTACTCAAAGCCATTTACGGGAGCGTAAAACCAGATCTTTTCCAGTATTTTATAACTATATTTTTTTTATTAATAATCATATAAATTCTTTATCTTCTTATAACCTAAGCAGGGGATATTAAGTTTGCCGGAGGCCCTATACATATACATATATTATATACATATACATATATTATATATATGTATATATATGTATATATATATATATATACAGTTCAACTTCCTTAATTCGAATCACCATAATCCACAAAAATAAACAAACGCGTTAGAGAAACTTCGAGTTAYGGAAGAAAATTTGTATGAAATTTGTCTCTAATGTCAATTCAAGAGTTCGAGTTTTAGAAGTTCCACTGGATACACCATATGATCAGCATAACGAGTTGAGTGGATTTATTCATTCGTCTGGCTGTATATGTATGTACTATATATACACTTCGGTTTTGAGATATTGATCTGAAACTTTAAACACGTTCTGGTCTCCCGAAAAAGTTGCTCATTTGTCAGAACCGCCGATATCGATTGCTACACAAATTTACCGATTAGAATCAAGTTTTTGTACGATTTTTTTTTTTAAATTTGTGAAAGGTATTATATTCTGCATCGGTCAAACGAGGTTAAGGTTTTTTTTGCTTTCAATTCCAGTCAGTTTTCTTTGATGCTTGGAGAGTTCGGGTCGGCTTCAAAAGGGCTGAGCCTCCTCTACAATCGACATGGCTTCTAAATTGTAAAAGTGCTATTACAAAACCATTAGAAGCGGTCTTCTGCCAGATGGCTTCAAAAAACTACTTAGCCATCTCCTATGACCAAAAGGAAAATCACAAGACCCATTACATTTTAGAATTATGTATGTCATTATTATTATTGTATTTAAAATTCAACAACTGTATTAATTTTTCAAACAATGTAACGAAATGTGCAACAATGACTTACACTTTCTTACAAAATACTATAACTATCCCTTTCTTCTTCTTCGTTTACGCATTTATGTATGTATGTATTTGAATATTTCTGTTAAACATTTTAGATTTCTTTTCGTTTGATTTACTGTTAAAAGTTGCTTGTCTTGCGTTTTGTTATAATCACGATTTAAGTATATACCATGTACTACACGTTAACCGTTATTCATTTACGCATTTTGCATATTGTTTGCATGTACATAAGTTTGTAGTTAATAATTATTGAATGTTACGAGAACTAATTAAAGAATAATTGAACACAACAATTTATATTACAATTTCCTAATATATGTATATGTATATAGTATGTATGTATATATCTGTATATATGTTTATCTATGTATGTATGCAACTGTAAAAAATATGCAAGGATTTGTGTGTATGTATGTGTAGTGTGTTTGTATGTACTTATGCTGATTGGTGCGAAAAAACATAAGAAAGTTCAACATTATTTGTTCGTGACATTTGCACAATTTACATAAATACCCTTTACGACATATGCAATGCATGCAACAAACACAACACATTGATTTAATTATCAACGAAACGAAATCAAAACTAAATAAAACATACATAAGGTACATATGGATGCTGCGTGTGCATGTATGAGTATGTCTGCATTGAGTATGTTGCAAATGTGTACGTCATGTTGACAATTTGATGAGGAAAGCAAGTTCGCATATTTTGGGTTCGACGAGTGGCGGCGAGTACCGGAAAACGACTCCGGCTGCGCCGTTGCGTCGACGTCGTGGACTGTGGGTCCGCAGCGCAAAGCAAGGAACCCTTGGACGGATGTAATGCCAAACTTGACTCATATTAACTACATTCTACATTCTTACGGCATCCCGTTGCATTAAATGTTAATTGTATTATTTGTTTTAACATTCGTTTATATAACTCTATTCTTCTATTTTTGATTATAGATATACATATATTTTTTTGTTTTATTTTATATATGTATGTATGTATTTAGCATTTTTGAGTTTATATGTGTGTATGTGTGTATGTGTGTGTTATTGCTGCCGTTCGCCTAGTTTAATTGTAAGTTTTCTATGGATATTTTCTAGTAATAATATATAATCTGTCGTAATACATAATATATCATTTATATATAATCTTGTTTGTTTTGTTAAACTCTGAAAACATAACAATTTAAAGCCTTTCTCTAAGGCCATTCAATGGTGCAATATTGCTAATAAAATACCTAAGATTACCCGCTCACAATTACGAATTTGCCTATACGATTTAATAATTATTGCAAGTTTCTCCATTTGTCACATATTTTTTTGTTTTTGTTTTTTTTTTTTTACTGAATTTTATACCCGATTTCTACCGATTTCTAAGTATATAGATTTCTGTGTGAATTTGGTTAACATTGAGGATTCCCTTATACAGCTAATGTTTTGTTCTTTGTCCAAGTGTGTGTGCATGTGTTGGATGTGAAATTATCAACTTTTTGCTTAAATCGCCAGTGTTGACGGTTGCATACGGTCAGTGGCCGCACTAGCAACTACTGATCCATTAAACAAAACCTAACCTAACTTTTTCTACGTAAAACTGTACCTGCCTAGTTTTGGCAAAGCCGCTTCTGTCAATTGATAAATATGTAGCTACTTGAAAGCACATGAAGCTTTGTCTGAATAAGATTTCAGCTTCGCAATTTGTTGCGTTGTCCAAACGAATGCTTACAAGCTAAGAATTTTCTCGCAATGTTTCATAAACATTTTGCTGTTTTTCTTAAGAATAGATAACAAAATATTTATTTTTGACATAAGCTGCTTTCCCAAACTACTTCAGCTATGATTTTATCTCTATGCACGCACATAACATATATGTACATAATTTGGCGTATGTTTTTGGATGTGTATGTGTGTGAATTTTCGGGTATTTGTGTACTTAATCAAAGAGGAAGGTAGGTATCTACGTAGCTTCGAATATAAAAATATTGCTCGTTTTGATTTGTTGACTTTTAGCGCAATTGCTTCAATTACATTTAATTACTGTAAATGTTGGCAATTTCAAAAGCTTTAACGTGTATGTATTTGTGTGTCTGAAGTGCGATTTTTCACACAAAATGTCTTCATTATTAACGTTGTCACTAGGATGTGTGTGATAAGTTCTTACAGCGGTCTCCCCTTCAGGTTATGGTTGAGTCTTCACATGCATTTGTAACAGAAAAATAGTTCAAATAAATCCACCAGTACATGACTGACAATTTGCTTCACTTCAAACATTTTGTTTTTAAAACATGATATTGGCCTGACATGAGTATTTCTGTGATTGACGGACGTGGCGCATGAGTAACCTATTTACAACCAAAATTTTTGAAGGGACACTTCGCTCAGAAAAACAAACTTTGAGTGAAAACTCGAGAAAAGCACAAACAAATGCAAGTAAAGTAATTATATAGTATAATATGAATACGAAAACGGAATTTCACTTCACTTGAACATTAACTAGAGACTGCTTTTAATAATGGGCGATAAAGTTCGTAAGTTCCTCTTACGTGGCTCAAAGTTAAAACCATGTCAACGACCATTTCGGAACTGCATGCAACAGAGGGTTGTTCAACGAGAAATGCAAATGTCTCTACGAAATATAAAACCAAAAATATACTTTAAATGCGAAAATATACTTTTAACCGGCAATTGCTATATTGAAAATTCAATTTATACTTTAGCAATGGCGCTTCCACGATTTTGAATTTTTCCTGCACGCTGTCTGTCACTTACACACGTTAAATCTTTTGATTTTGCCAATACGACATGAATATTTTGACTTTTTCAGATATCGGTCTCACGTTGTACGTGAATTCACCAAAAGTGCAACTGCTTTTGCGTTTTTTGGCTAAAGAAATATTTTAAAATTATTTATCATTAATTAATTAACTATGGTTCGTCGCTATTTCAATTAGGTTTGCTTTACATACGAGTATATGCAACTACATGCTAATTATGTGTATAATTTTCGATTACTTACAACTAATATATGTTTTATAACAATTCATTTAAAATTACATACATACGTTGAAGGTACATTGCAAAAATTTGACCAGCACTAATAGTTAAATTATTGAGTGACTCCTCGCAAGCAAATGGAAATTTTTCATAGCACGCCGGTACTGCATGAATATTTTTTTTTAATTTTTTACTGATTTTATCAGAACTATACGATTTCACAGCGACTGTTCACGTGCCAAGAAAGATTTCCCTCGGCCTATCAAAAGCGACCATTGGCTTTACTTAATGCTCTTCTCTAATTTTATTAATATACAATATATGTATTTAATAACATCATGTTTTTAATTTGGGGCGGATAAAGCTCTAAATGCATTTCTAAAAAGTCGTTTTCCTATTAAAGGTGTCATGTGTTTTGGTACTTTCTCTGTCTTCAGCACTTCTAACAGAGACATATTCATCTGCATTCACAGCATTTTCTTGATATCACTGCTTCTACGCGTGCGCAAAGGATTAACGATTTGCTTTGACGAATACTCGTCATTATCTAACTTACTCATTTGTTTGTAATTAAGAAAGTTGTACGTTAAACATGATAATTTGCATAAGTATTTCAGAAAATGTACTATTTTATGTTTTAATTTTGATTTGTTCTTGCTTTCAGTTACAATCGACTATCACACACTTTTGCATCTCGTGCCTTCAGTTTCCATTACTTTTCGCTTCTACCATGTTTGCGACTCTGGCCTATAGCAGCCACTGTTACACAGCGAACCGCTTGCCTGATTTTCCTAGAACAATACACTAAACTGTCTTATATATTTACACCCACATACTTGTGGAGCCTTCCCCATTAATATTGCCTCTAGCTGTAGATTATTTGTCTCACTATAAAAGAAAGCTCGTTCAACGAGCCCTTCATTGCCTGCTTTATGGACAACTGTTATCGTTTCCGAAATGCCGCCGTGCTTGTAGCTATCTACTTTTGATTGTTGATATTGGCCGCGGTTGTAAGGCTCATTGGTTGCTATTGGTGGCTTTTGCTCAACAAATGCGAATTGAATTCGTAGACGTTGTTGCACTGTTCGCCACATATGTTGCACTTCCATGGATTGCTCTCGCAGTGGCAGCCCTTGTGCAGGAAGTACAGTGTCTCGTCCGGGAACTCGATGCCACAGAATAAACAAGTGAGTATTTGCTTGCGGTTTAGCAGGTTTGGTTCGGTCTCTTGGCCGGTGGAGGTGATCGTGCCGTTACATATAGGGGTGGAATTGCAGGAGGAGCTGTTGCTTGTGGTGCCGGTGACGCCGCCTGTTTGCACGACATTGTTGTTGTCCAATACAGCGGCATTGCGAGTGATGCGATTATTAGCTTTGGCGCAAATGCGTCGTTTAAGATCCTCTCTTAACAAGGACTTCAGTGGGGATACCTGCAATCCATCAGAAAATATAAAAAACACTTCTCAGCTTAGATATGTATAACTAGATAAATAAATGGATAATTGAGGGTTGCACTGCACTGGATCTAATGTGACCTCACAACTGCGCATTGTCCCATCTAGCCCCAGCATTGAAGAAATTCTACACCTTTGCAGGTTATACCCGTTCAGTAATAGTTTGACACAGACCATTTGTTTCCTGGTCGTACTTTCTTTTACATTTTGGTAATGAGATCCCACTGTGCAGAAAGACTCTGTTTCAGTCGGCCTAAGGATGATTAATCTCCGTCTCTTTCTCTGAGGTGCGGTACCCATATTAGGTGGACCCGTAGGCGAAATATCCTCAACGGTTATCTGACTATCGCTTGTTATGGCTATACCGGACACCGACTAATTTTGTTAAATACGCATGAAAAATGCTCGAAAAGACGACATTTGACACGGAGAGCCAAGTACAGAAAGGTTTGTTTCTTAGCTCAATATTTCTGAAATTGTTAGTTAGAATACGAGAATTCAGATATCACATACAAAATAACAAGCTTCATTGAGATACTTTGTACATAAATTATATTGTATGTTGCAACCCCAGACGTTGCAGTTTTAAGAGAAAAAATTCAGACAAGTAGTTTGGTTAAGTGGAGCTTTTCATAATTCCAGTGCAACAGAAATGTTCTCTCTTAAGGAAGGACCCAGTATCGATTGAAAAATCAGATAATTTTGATCTTAAAAACTTGAAAACAGACCTTAATTAACGAAGTTAATCTGCCGTTTGGAGACGAGAATTCCGATTCACTGCTGTCACCGCCATTCATTTGATCGCATTGTGTGGTTGGGCTAATTTTTGTGCCACTCTTATTAGCATCCGTTGATAAATCCTCCCCTACTGGTTCCTACAGTAGAGCAATAATAACCAAAAAACAAACAAAAAAACAGACAAAAGGGGGGTATATGTGAACATAATGAAAAAGGCTAGGAAATTTGTGCATTACACTCGCCTGCTTGATTGGTATCAAACTGATGGATGGTGTGATGTGGTTCTCGTGGTGATGGGTTTTTGGTGAAGGGCAAGCATTCAACTGCGCACCGACATGACTGGTGCTTGAAGGCAACGATTTGGTATTGCAATCGATCGGATGTTCTTGTGGTGGTAGTGGCGCTGGTGACTTATTTCCAATGACTGCATCCCGCTCGCCTCGACCGCCGCTCTTCGTCTCCATCTGTTCCACCCCGGTTGCGGTATTGGCGTTCCCCTGCAAATCAAATGCACATAAAAACGCCGCATCAGTGGATTTCCCCAATTTGCAATTTAGCAACGCATTCCATGTTACATTGAACAAATCGGTTCCATTGTCGGACAGCGTTGAAATTTCCACATGTGGAGTCAAAAAATGCATGGGCGGTGTGGCATTCTCCAGCGAACGCATCGACTCGCCGCTATCGCTCTGATGGGTCGTCGTCATGTTCGAGTTTGCATTCTGGCTTGCAGCAGCAGCAGCTGCAGCCACGACATTCAGGCCCGGTACGAAACTGGCAGCGGCTGCGGCAGCAGCTACTTGTGATGCCTGCGACTCCAAGGCGAGCAGTAAGGATGAGGAACCACCCGGTCCGGGATTATCAAGGTCTATACCATGTCTATAAAACACACCGAATTAAAAAAGAACTTTATTTCTTCAACTACCCGAAGCAGCTTATCTATGTATATACCTGTTGAAAAAGTGAATCCTTAGCGATTTCATAGAACCTGCTCTATAGCTACACAGTGGACAGGTTTTAACGAGGTCGTGTTGGCCGACATGCTCGTTTTGGAAATGCGCGCGCATAGCGATTTGGCGCTGGAAGCCACGGTTACATATGGGACAGTGGTATGGAAGAGTTTTCGTGTGCGTTGTAAAATGTTCTGCCAAATGGTCTTTGCGGAAAAATCTATATTCATAAATTATATAATACTCTGTGTGGTCAGTTCGTAGATCGAGAAAGTAGTAAATACAAACCTCTTTTGGCAGACACGGCATTCGTAAGGCTTGACACCAGTGTGGCGCATTTTGTGCCGTCTCATATTGGCGCCATTTGAGAATTTCATATTGCAAACATCACATTCGAAAACTTTGCGGGATGAGGACGACGAAGACGATGATGCAGTTGGACTGCTGGCATTGCCATTCGTTGCAACCACCGACATATTTGTGGGCACATTATTTACCGTTGCCGTATCCGGTACCAATTTGGTCATATCGTTGCTGTTGCCTGCATTTTGGTCTGCATGGGGCATCACCGAACCGACAACACTCAGATTCTCCAAGTCAGGTTCTTCGGTTTTGAGGCGCGCATGATTAGACAAACACTGGACGACATGTAGCAGTAGCGATGCTCTAGAAGTAGTCTCGAAGTGGTCGCAACGTTCGCAGCGAAACGTCGCCATAGCGGGCGGATTCGGTGTGCTTGTGGATGTGGAATAATTCGTTGGCGGGGTACTATTTGCACGTGCTGTACTATCCAAGGCCACTGGCTGTTCATCTGCGCTGCATTCCTTCAAGCTACGTAGCGCATGTGTATGCTTGACTAACGCACTGTGTTGCAACAAACTCGCTGGTGTCATATCAATTATCCCGCTGTCCTTTAATGTCATCTCCATACCGGCGGCTGCACTTATAGTTTCAGCCATTTACCTAAAACAAAAAAGTAAAATAAGTTGTAGTAACCGATTACTTTAACTAGACCTGTACTTTTTAAAAAAGATTTTAAATCGATCTTGAATGTTCTACAAATTTATCTAATTTATATTTAATTTCGACAATTAATGAGCAGTTTTCAACGGATGTAATGTGTAACTAATTATATGCATGTTACTGTGAGAGATTTTTATAACAAATATGATAATTCTAGTGTCGCAAAGATCACTAAAGTGAGTCGAATACCTTCAGTTATTTTATTATATTTGGATGAAAATAGTTTTGATTCACCTCTAGATAACATCGACATCTTAATGATTAAATCTATTTCTGGAAATATGTGGGCAATGTATGAGAGAGTTCGACAAATGTAACATAAAGGAAACCAAAAACGGATATTTGTATGGAGCTAAAATTATCTATCCTTAAACCATATTCATGCTTAGAAAACATATTACTACAATAGTAAACATGGGTCTGGACATTTTTATAATAAGTAGTTTATCATCAGAAACTAAAAAAATTGAAAATTTTTCTCAGGTGCTAACTCCTTTTTTTCTTTCAATGAGTCTCTTCAGCTGTTTAGTCCTCTTCTCCCATTTTTTTGCCAATAATGACATATTTTATATTGTCTGCGTTTGCTTTCCCTTTGCAGAGAACTTGAGCTGTCATACCTGATTGAAATAAGTCTGTCAGGTGGGAATATCTTTTTTAGTGAATTTAAATGTAATTAGTTTAAAGAACGCCATTTTTTTCTTCGGAGATAATTTCTTACTGAGTTTTAAAACCTCAAATACTTTTCTCATTTTGTTTGCACTCTTACAAAGCACTGAGCGTAAGGCCTTGAGGGGATTAGCTATTTAGACAGTCCCTTGCTATCTTTCCAGCGTTCATTCCAATTACAAAGATGAATAAAACTGCATAAGCAACACAAAATATTCAAACTACAATAAATAAACCTCTAGTTTTATGATGATAAATACGTAGGAGAAGCGATCTTCAGCGTTCGATTCAAGGTTGAATACAGTCCATCTTCAAATATGTATACAGACATTTGTTGTGAGTGGATAGTTTTGGGTTTGATATTAGAGTCGCTTACATTAAGAAAACAGGTTTGAATGAAAGAAACAATAAATTAGAGATGCACATACTAATGCATGTCTATATGTATGCCTACACGAACGGTTGTGTATAAACACAGTTTACCAAAAATTTATATTTTTTCCCTACGATACATTAGAGGTCACCCGGTTAATCCAATTTCAATATGCACACAAACAAGATAATATACAAAAGCACACATAAGAAAATTATAATATATGTATGTATGTATATGGAATAAATAAGATTGACCTTGACGAGCCGTGTTTCAAACTCCAATTCCCCTTTTTTGTTTTTCTTTATGTTACACAAATCTAAGCTAAACTAATGTAGTCATTATAATGTGCGTATAATAATAAAACTCGCATCAAATGCATAATTGTCAAGTTTTCAATTAATCAGTATGAGTTTTTCTTACTTTAAATAATCGTAATTATGGAAACTTTTTTTATAAAAACAAGAAGTCTTCAACATTTTCTAAAGCTTGTCCATTTCTGTGAAAACATACGATCATGTGAAACAGTCATCGACAAGTACACGACTCATGGAGTGTATGCTCCAGGTATATCCTATCTTTTCGTAACATTTGCACAATCGGTAAAAAAACTTCAATAAAATAACAAATACCATTGAAAACTATGCTAAATATTAAAGCAAAGTTTGGGCAGCCTAAAAGATCTATTCTAAACTAAACGACTTGAGGAAGTTTTGAACACTTCAGCATTAGAGCAAAACTTATTGAAAAATTTATCAGAAAATAATATTCACAATTAAGCAAAAACAAGAAAAGCTACGACTGCACCAAAGTAGTAGTAACTTTTACAAATAAAAACATTTTTCACGCATGAACTTGATTTTGGTCGGTCAGTTTGTTTAACCGCTATATGATATAGTGGTCCGATCTGGAACATGTTTTCACATATTTTAGCGGTGCCTTGAATAGTAATCCACCAATCTTGAGAATATCTTGTTAAAAGAAAACCTTGCGGATCGGTCAATTTGAATACCTATATGTTATACGGAGGCTGCTATATATATTTCTGGCCTAGGCAACACTAAGTGTTGCCAGGTGCAATGTGACATTTCCATTGGAAAGTTTGACATTTTTTAGCATAACATCACTCAGAACGTTTTGTCATTTAATTGTGAATTGTTTTATTTACAGGGAATTAAAAAATTCATCTCGGCCAAAAAATGGAATTAACTCGTGAACATTTTCGTGCGATCATTTTTCACAAATTTCCTCGCGGATTATCACGACAATAGTGCAGCGATGAACTAAAATCTTTGTATGGTTATGAAGCACCATCCTATAGCACTGTGAAAAACTGGTACAACGAATTCAATCGTGGCCGACGCTCGCTCGAAGACGAATTCCGTGAAGGTCGTCCAAAAACTGCCGTTGTGCCAGAAAACATCGATGGCCTACGTGAACTGATAATGCAAGACCGTCATGTAACAAACCTTCAGATAGAGGCGTGCCTATGCATTTCTCCAGCATACATTCGATATTGCATGAACACCCGGCCGTAAAAAAGGTTTGTTCTCGTTGTATCCCGCACAATTTGACAATCGCTCAAAAAAATGMTCGTGTAGATTGGTGTAAAGAAATGCTGAAAAAATACGATCGCGATGCTTCAAAAGACGTTTATAAGATCGTCACAGGTGACGAATCATGGATCTATGCGTAAGAGCCCGAAACAAAACAGCAATCGAACGTGTGGTTCTTCCAAGACGAGCCAAATCCAACAAAAGTTGTTTGTGGAAGAAACACTTCGAAGCAAATGGTCGCCTGTTTCTTCGGCAAAACTGGTCATGTGGCGACTGTTCCGCTTGAGCAACGTAGGACGGTCAATTCTGAGTGGTACAYCATCATTTGTTTGCCTGAAGTCTTCGGAGAAATTCGAAAAACGAACAAGAGAAGACGAATCATTGTGCACCATGACAATGCGAGCTCTCACACATCGGCTCAAACCGGCGCCTTTTTTTCTGTACACATATTAATTAATTTCTCAGCAATCTATCAAACATACGCATATGTATGTATTAACATAAAGTTTATAGATTTACCATACACATATAACGTACATACATATTTATAAAAAAAAACATATGTACGTATACCGCTTGTTTTTGAATAACCCCTCAGTCTCTTCTAGTTGGCCTATTTTAACGTTGGTTTTAAAACAAAAATGCCTTAAAGCATAAGCACATGTAAAGATATGCGAATAGATATTCACATACATACATAGTAAATATGTACTAGTATATTTTAATGCTCCTTAGCTGCATTATAACCAAGTCATTAGGTCAAGTTTTGAAACCAAACTAGCTCACATCCCAAATTCATAAATATCTCGCTCGAAAGGTAAAGCCACACAGATCCATACTGGTACTATACTACATACATACCTAAATTGTGCATAGTTTACCCACATGCCCTACATACACACATATGCCAATGCATATATGTGTGTAAACAGATACACGTTGAATAGGCATGAGAGAGCACATTTTGTTTTCTATTTTATGCTCTTTGCCACTTTGAAGTTATTCATGTCAGTATGTCAGTGACATATCTGCTTAACATTTTTTATGTTGGATTATGTCGCACAAAAGCCGGGCGACTAACAAGCAAAACCTACCAACCAGGAATATATGTATGTTATACCGAAAGTGGATGACCCACACATAACCGCGCACACACACGCTTAATGGTTTCGCTCAAATAGACCCTTTAAAACATTTTTAATTAATCAAAACTAAAGTACAAAACATTGAAGCTACGAAGAACTTAAAGTTACGTCTCTCGCCTAAAAAGACACCATAAATTTGCTAACCCCCTCCTAATATTGTTAAGTCCTTAAAAGCTGTTAATTTTGGTCAAATTCCTCGGCTGGAAATGATATTTCCATATTTATCAATTACAAATCGTTTAATATTGGATATTTCGATATTTTTAATTCTATTAGCAAAACCTGTCTTTCGAATCCCACATTTTTCTTTTCATCATTCCTGTTCTAAAAAGCATCAAGCCGACATAACTTTTCCGAGTCATTTACTGACTTTTTCCAAGAAAGGACGGGCATATGCTCAATATAAGGTCTTTGGGGACATTTTCTAGTTGCAACTATGGCGTAACGCCGTGATCCAAGCATCAAGTTAGGTCACACAATTAGCACAACATAACTGTTTTTATCAGGAGTCCTTTTGTGAAATAACCGTCAGGTTTATGATAATAACAAATCACGGTACTCATTTGCCATATGTACATATGTACATGCATATGTTCTTATGTATATACTTATGCATAATTTGGATGCAACCTTTTACACTGGACTGATTACCGAGACTGGTTCACATTTTAGGAAAAGTAAAAATATTAAATTACTTATAATTGGGTAGTCGCCAAGATCGACTTTCCACAAGCTATTTATTTTACAAGAGAAAATAACAGTTAACTAAATAGTGCACGTGCGAGAGTTACACACAACTTTACATTCATAAGAGAAGTTATATATTTCTAAATACAAGTGTGTGTGCTTGTGGGTGACTCTATCGGAACTTGACATTAATTCTGAAGTTTCTGCTATTGAAAGTAGGTGACATTGTTCCCGCTGCTCATTTACAACATGCCACATAAACGAATTCTAGCACACACACACACATCAGTTCATCGCAGCCCAACGCATTCGGTGAACAGAAGTCAAACGAGAAATTGTTTGTTCGGCAAAAAAGAACGACGAAACTAATAACAAAACGCACATATGTTTGTATGTAAATATAAAAGAATGGTGAATAAGAATTAGTTTTAACCATAGATAACGTTTCAACTGTAACATAAACGCACCAACACGGCGGTTGTGCTTTTCGCGCCATACTCCCAAGTTAGAAAG